TGGGGGGGGGGGGGGGGGGGGGGGGGGGGGGGGGGCAAGGGAATGAAACGTGGGAATGTGGGAAATGAAAAGCAGGAGGGAGGGGCTTCATGCAGTGCAAAGTCTCACCAAGAATCCCTCTGGTTTCTGCTCCTGTCCTTGCTGTTATCTCAGGGTCCTACTGGAGGGGTGGAATCAGCATAGCTTTATTGATGTCTTTCTTGGTTTCCCAGTGTCTGGATAGTACAAACAAACCTGCAGCTCTGGGATGGGTGGAAAACAGCTTTACATTCACGTAAATAATGTCATCTTGCCCCCTAACCAAGATTCAAAATATCAACTAACCATGAGAAAACAGGGAACTCATAGAAATGCATGCCAAGAAAAAAACTTTCTAAAATTTGCCTACAGCCCATGCGAGTTTAGGTCCCAACATGGCTTCAGTCCTGCTCACTCCAGCAATAATGGTTTAGTTATATACATATAATACTTGGGGTTTTGCTGATACCTTCAGTATCAGAATACAAAATTTTCACACAATCGAGGGATTGCTTGTCTTATGAGCAGAGCTTAGCAGTGTAAACATGTGCATAGGCATAGAGATTAGAGCTTTCTTTTTCTGAGGGGTGTAAGTAAATCAGGGGGTCTGGAGTTTAGGAATGGAGTGAAGGAGTGTTGGGTAAGGTGCCTGGAGGAGTAGTAGGAGGGCCTGGTCTGCCATATGAAGGAGTTTATTGAAGCTGATAGAAAACCAATGAAAATGACAATAATGGTTTTTGCAAAAAGTCTTACAAAAGCAATACATCCTGTAAAAATTTAAACTGTACAGCAGTACATAAGATGGAAATACTAATAATCCCTCATAACTACTATCTTGCCACCCAAAATAATCATTATGTGTAGTTTGGTTTATCTTCCTTTTGTATATGCTAGCATATATTATTGTTAATATTTTTTTCACACTGGGCGGAGATTTTTGTCTGTTTTGTTCTCTGCAGTATCCCTAGCACCCAGAGTGCTGTCTAGCATGTAGTGGGCATTAAATATTTGCACAATGAATAATATACAATTCAGAGGTCAAAAACTGAATGGAATTTGTCAATGTCTGGTCAAGGAGGTTAAAAAAATTCTTTTTGAATAGGTTGTCAACATTTTAAAATTAATTTCACATAAAATCTGAATTTCTGGCTTTCCTTGAAAGTTTTGAAACATTTGGCCACATTAAGCTCAAATTATATTTGTTGCACTCCTTTAGATAGATGGGTGTGAATCTGTGTTCACATCAGCGTGGCTTTGCTGATACTCACCTGACTGGAGTCTACAAACCTGCACTGTCCAGTATAGTAGCCACTAGTCACATATGGCCATTTAACTTTAAATTAATTAAAATTAAGTTAATTAAAAATCCTGTTTCTCATATATACCAGCCTCTTTCCAAGTGCTCAGAAGCCACATGTAGGGGGGCTATTGTATTAAATAGTGCAGATACAGAACATTTATATCATTGCAGAATGTTCTGTTGCACAGTGCCTCTTTAGACATTTGAGTTTGCTACCCCTGTTATACAGAGTTCTTGCAAGTAGCATTTATTATTATTTTTAAAATTTGCCTGTCTCTTTGTCATGACACAGATCTCCATCTTTTAAATGACTGCATACTATTTTGCAGGTTAGGATTTTTTGTAAATTGTGGGGTAGGATTCCGTTGTCTGATCTGCATTTTAGAAAAGCTCTAGTTTGGGGGATAAACTGGAGGAGGAGGGGTTGGTAGTGAAATAAGACACAGAGATTAGAGGGTGGGTAGTAATCAACACCGTAAGGTCACAGAGCCACGGAAGGGCTTCCATTAAGGAGATGGAATTGAAATGACTAATATGGGCTGAGATCTTTTGGATTCTAAAGTCACTGAAAATAATCATATCTTCTGAAACTGATTCACTTTTGAGAATTGGTAAATTTGGCTTTGTAATGTATAGAAGGAACCCTCAGTTGGTTCCAGTAAACATAAAATATTCAAATGTTATGTTTAAAATGTAGAGTATAAATTTTGACATATGTGTACATCTGTGAATCCAGCATTACAGTCAAGGTAGTGAACATAGTCATTACCCCCAACTCTTTGTAATCCCTTCCCCTGCCTGTTTTTATCTACTCATCCTCAGGCAGTCACTGACCTCTCTTTTACTATAGATTAGTTTGTCTTTTCTGCAGTTTGTATTATAGATCTGGAATCATAGAGTATGTTCTTTTTGGGGGGAGGGGTCTGGCTTTTTATCACTTGCTAGTGTACAGAAATACAGGGTTTTTTTGTATATTGATCTTCTATCTTGCCACCTTACTAAACTCACTTATTCTAGTAGCTTTTTTGTAAATTTTATTGGCTTTTCTATATAGATAATCATATTATCTAAAAATACAGTTTTACTTTTTTATTTCTAGTCTGGATGCCATTTCTTTCTTTTCTCCCTCTTCTCTTCCTCCCCGTCTTTTCCCCCTTTTCCCTGTTTTCCCCTTTCCCCCTTAGCACCCTTCTCACCTTCACAAGGACCCCCAGTACAATGTTGAATAATGAGAGTGGACATTCTTGCCTTGTTTCTGATCTTAGGAAGAAAGTATAGTCTTTCACCATTAAATGTGCTGTTGGCTATAGGTTTTTGGTAGATGTCTTTTATTCCTAGTTTACTGGGAGTTTTTATTAGGGATGAATTTTGGATTTTACTAAATGCTTTTTCTGTCTATTGAGATGATCATGTGGTGTTAACATCTTTTTCAGTCTGTTAATAGGGTGAATTACATTAATTGATTTATGAATGTTTAACCAACTTTGCATTCCTGGGATGAGCCTAACTTGTTGATAATGAGCTATTACCCTTTTTATACTTGAGCTAGATTTTCTAAAAATTTGTTAAGAATTTTTGTATCTAGATTTATGAGGGATGTTACTTTATAGTCTTATTGTAATATAATTTTCTGACTTTGGTAGCAGGGTAATGCTGGTCTTATGGAATGAATTGCAAACTGTTCCTTCCTTTTCAGTTTCTTTTTTTTTTTTTTTTTCCAAAAGATGACCGGTAAGGGGATCTTAACCCTTGACTTGGTGTTGTCAGCACCACGCTCAGCCAGTGAGCGAACCGGCCATCCCTATGTGGGATCCGAACCCGTGGCCTTGGTGTTATCAGCACCGCACTCTCCCGAGTGAGCCACGGGCCGGCCCTAAAATAACTTTTTTTTTTTTTTTTTTTTTTCCAAAAGATGACCGGTAAGGGGATCTTAACCCTTGACTTGGTGTTGTCAGCACCACGCTCAGCCAGTGAGCGAACCGGCCATCCCTATGTGGGATCCGAACCCGTGGCCTTGGTGTTATCAGCACCGCACTCTCCCGAGTGAGCCACGGGCCGGCCCTAAAATAACTTTTTTTTTTTTTTTGTCTTTTTTCGTGTCCGGCAACGGACCGCAACCCTCAGTGTCGTGCCCGTACCGGACCGGGACCGGCAACGGGACTGCAACCCTTGGTGCTGCGCCCGCCCCTCGCTCAGCCAGTGAGCGGGAACGGTCTGTATGTGGGATCCGAACCCTCGGCGGGAGCGCCGCCGCGCTCCCAAGCGGCGCACTATAGCAGTGCGCCACCGGGTTGGCCCCCCTTTTCAGTTTCTTATTAGAGTTTTTGTAGGATTGTAATAATTCTTTAAATATTTGGTAGAATTTTCCAGTGAAGCCCTTTGGGTCTGGAACTTTCTTTGTGGGAAGGTTTTAAACTACAGATTCAATTTCAAAAATAGGTATAGGGCTCTTTGGGTTATTTATTTCTTCTTGAGTGAGCTATGGTAGTTTGTGTTTTTTTTTTGTTTTTTTTGTTTTTAAAGATGACCGGTAAGGGGATCTCAACCCTTGACTTGGTGTTATCAGCACCACACTCAGCCATTGAGCTAACTGACCATCCCTATATGGGATCCGAACCCGTGGCCTTGGTGTTATCAGCACAGCACTCTCCCGAGTGAGCCACAGGCCGGCCCCGATAGTTTGTGTTTTTCAAAAAATTTATTCATTTAATCTAAGATGTCAAATTTAAGATTTCCTGTTTCCTGGTTTTAAGGAATAATGATGTGCCTTACAGTTGTTTCCTTTGTGTTTCTTCTGTGTGGGGTTCATTAAACTTTTTGGATTTGTGGGTTTATAGTTTTCATTAAGTTTGGAAAATTTGGGGTCATTATTTCAAGTTTTTTTTTTTTTTTTGGTCTACTACTCTCCCTCCCTTTTCAGGGACACCAGTTATACAGATATTAGGCGGCTTACAGTTATCCCACACCTCATTGATGCTCTGTGCACTTTTTTTCAGTCTATTTTCTTTCTGCATTTTATTTTCAATGTTGTCTTCAAGGTCACAAGTCTTGATTTCTACTATGTCTAATCTGCTATTAGTCTCATTCAGTGTATTTTTCATCTCAGATATTGTAGTTTTCTTGTCTAAAAGTTCAGTGTAGGTGTTTTTCAGAAATATATTCCATGTTTCTATATAAGATGCTCAAATTTCCTGTAGCTTTTAAACATGTGGAATGTAGTTATGAAAAACAGAGTAAGGTCAGGCCTGTGAACCAAACCAACTCAATTTTCCCTGCAGAGGACACTCTGTTACTTTTCTACTCCTCAGTCATGAGACTCCCTGTCCCACCCAGCACATAATTACCCCATGACCCGCCCTGATAAAATAAATTGAGATAAGAGGGGAACAGATATTCACAGAGTTGCAAAACCCCTCCCCAAGGCTTGTTTACTGTAATTGTAAAAATTAAGTTACAGATTAACCTTAAGACCCCTTTAGGAATTCCTGAATGTGCACAATGCTTCAAGGTGACTGCTACAATGACTTTCCTGGGGTGAGGATATTGAACACCACCACCATCTTGGACCAGAGAGCAGATGCAAGGACTAAAGCCCTAACTGAGCATGCACCCATGACACAACCAGGAAGAACAGAATGGACCACGTTCAGTGATGCTGCCCTGTATCCCTTAACTCCTTTCCCTATGAAAAACCCTGAACAGCTCCCCTGGAAGGCTAGCTTTACTGTAGCTACCTCCCTTATGCATAAGTCTATCCTCTCTTTTAGTGAAGTGTTGTTTGCTTTACTGCTGGGTGCATTGTTCATTTCTGTGATCCAAGGAGGCTAGCTTTACTGTAGCTACCTCCCTTATGCATAAGTCTATCCTCTCTTTTAGTGAAGTGCTGTTTGCTTTACTGCTGGGTGCATTGTTCATTTCTGTGATCCAAGGGCCTAATTCGGTACAAGCCAGGAGGTAAGGGGACTCTGGGTGCTGGGAATGGCCCTGGTATTTTCCTCTTGCAGCACAGGTGCTGCTCTAATAACTGCACCAGTGAAAATTGGAAAGCCTTGGGCACCAGAGAAGACTAGCTGCAAGACGCAAGTGGCCTCTGGGACTATTTTTCTCCCATGTCTCTGTTGCTGGTAAATCTCTCCTGGAGCCTCCAGCATAAATTCTGACAAGACAATGCTTTATTCTCTTTTACTCTCCTTTTTGCTTCCCTTTTCTTCTTTAAGACAAAGCTTTACTCTCTTTTACTCTCCCTTTCTCCTTCCCTTCTTTACCTTTCTCTGATTTTCCGAGCCCTCACCTGCTGTTTGATATAGGTGCACGCTGGAGGGCTCCTGGCTATGCTTTGTTTTTCGGATTTAAATCTAGGCAGTACTTTTCTTCTTTGAGCCAACAGCAGTGGGGAGAACTGCTTTTATCATTTATTATGTCAGTGGAATAGGTGGCCCCACCGATTGGGACTAGGATAAAGTGGACCCCGCTGTTTCTCTTTTCTCTGTTTGCTTGCTTGGTTAGAAATTTAGTTGAGTACCAGTAATCTAAATAAACCTTCCAATCCTTGCACCAACTTTTGGACTTTCGAGTCGTTTGTTTAGTGCGAGAGAGCAAGCCGAGCCTGGTCTGTCGGTTACACTAATGCTGTCATTAGTTTGTTAGAAGTTACTTTCTATTGATTGATATTTCTCCTAATTATGGATCACATATCCTGTTTCTTGCACTTCTGGTAATCTTAAATTGTAAATTTAAATTGTGCCCTGTTAAGTGCTGGATAATTTTGTATTCTTAGAACTGTTCCTGAGCTTTTTTTCTGTGATGCAGTTGTTACTCAGAAATATGATCTTTTTGGATGTTGCTTTTAATCTTTGTTAGGTGGGGCCAGAGCAGCTTCCAGTCTAGGATTAATTTTTCTCTTAAGACTGAGCCAAAACCCTTCTGAGTACTATACCCAGTGTCCGTGAATTATGTTTTCCACTTTGATGGGTGGGAATAGACACTATACGCTGCCCTATGTGAGCCCCCCTCCCCGCTTTTTTTAAACACATATGCCCTCATAGGACTCAGTTGAATATGAGAGGGAGATTCTCTGCAGATCTCTGGAGTTCTTGAGTTCTTTCTCTGTGCAGTTCTGTCTTCTCTGTACTCTCTTCTCTTGTACTCTGTCCTGTGAGCTCTAGCTACCTTGGTCTGTTTGAACTTCCAGCTTCATCTGTTCAATTTAGGGAGACTGTTGGGCTCTACTTAGATTTACCTTGTCTACAATGTGGCCTGGAAACTCTCCCCAGGCAGTAAGCTAGGGCAGTTATAGGTCACGTCCTGTTTGTTTCCCATCTCTCAGGGATCACTGTCTTTCACTGCCTAATGTCCAGTGTATCTTATGTTAGATTTTACTATTTCATTACACGCTTATTCCCCCACTTACTGTCTACTGATATAATTTTACTATTGTTTTTATATAATCTATTTCTTATTTCCCAAATAATTTGCTGTTAAAATAAAAGTAGGCTGTTCCCTAACTAAAATTAAAAAATGAAATGAAAAAATTCAAGTTTCCAAAGTACACATTGTACAGTAAAAGTAATATTATATATTCCTCTGGTTTGTATTGCTGAAAGGTATTGCTGTAGGGGCGATGAGTAGAAACTCAGGGTAATTTAATCTGAGTTGTGTTAAAGGCAGAACAACTGATACACCTATTGCATAAGTGTTATATCCCAGTTTTGTAAATAAATGTTTTCCACAGATATTTATAGTCTGTTTTTTGTGTTCTAGATAATCAAGCAAAAGAAAGATGAGCTTCATCTGTGGACTGCAGCTTGCTATTAGAAACTGTGTTTTCTTCCGATTTAATTCACTGGCCAACTGGAGAAAATGTAACACACTAGCAGTAACCTCGCTGGACTGTCCTCAAGTACAAATTAATCATATAGTAAATACATATCAAGGACTGGGAGTAAATCAGTGTAATAGGTTGGCTTTTCTGCCTGGAAACTTTCATTTCTATAGGACTTTTAGTAACAAAAGAACAGGATGCCTCTCAAGTACGAAAAGTAAGGAAATTTGGATGATCACCCGCAAATGTGCTGCATGGAATGAGTCTTTTTCAAGACAGCTACTGATAAAAGAAGTTCTAGTAGTTCCTGCTCTTTCAGTATTGTGCCCTCTAAGCTATCCTCCATTAAGAGCTGTAAGGAATTTCCACACTTCTCCCCGGTTTCAAGCTGCTCCGGTTCCTCTCTTACTGATCATTCTTAAACCAGTGCAGAAGCTACTTGCAATCATCGTAGGCAGGTAAAATACATTTTAAAAAATAAATTTTGTATTTCATTAATTTTTTGCATTAACATTTTATATTAACTTGTACTAACTTCTAAAAGTCAGTTAATCTTTTGTGTTTGTAAAACTATACTTAAACATGTTAGATCTGCTTCCCACCCCATTTAACTCAAAATTAAGTTTCTAAACTGTAGGTCCTACCTAATTTTGTTATGTATGATTTAATAATCTTGAAACAATTTACTGTATATTAATTTGTGGTATAGAAATGTGATCTTTAAAAAGTTATTCTTACATATTATATAGACATTTTTAAAAAGATTTTATACTTATGATAATAAGAAGAATCAGAAGTGTTGGTTATAACCCATGTGTAAGAACAGTACTTACTAATATTCCTTTTTAGTAAGTACTGTTCTGAGTGTGTAAGAACAGTACTTACTCAGATTCCGTTTGTGGAATCTGAGGTGGCAAGTCATGAAACTGAGGAACTTTCCTTATATAGATTGGGCTCACTTATAGACAAGTTAACTCTTAAACCAGTAATATTTACTTATTTATTTTTCTATTCTATTTCCAGCACATCTTTATTGTGGTGGTCCTTTATAATAAGTAATATTTTTACAGCTAACCCTTTTTTTTCTTATTTGTTTCATGAAGATTGAAGAAATAATCACTGTCTCCTCATAGTTTGATAACTATAAAGTTCCTTTTTGCCTTCTTCTTACTTCCATACTATCTAACCCAATTTGCTTTCTCTCAAAAATTGAGAACTTCTACTCTGTAATTTATGTAATTTTTTTCTCTTTTTTTGAGACCCAGAAAATATACAACTATATTGGCTCTCAGATTAAGTAATGAACTCACCCCAGGTCCTTGGGATAATAGCTCCTTCTGATTTCTAATGTGTACTAATCTTTTTAAATCATTTATTTATTTTTAACTTTTTTGTTGTTGTTACTATTGTAAATTACCTAAAATTTTCTTTTACAGTATGTCTTGCATACATTTAAAATAAATGTAATGTCATATTATCCTTCACAGTTTGGTTTATGTCCCTTCAGATTGAAACACTTTGTCTAAGGGTATTTCAGGTATGTCACTTAACAAACCTAAGATGATTTTAAGTTATTTTGTGAAATAAACTTTTTTTATGAGAATGATATATATATGTTAAGTTTTTGTTGTGATTTTACAGATGAACTCACGAGGAAAAATTCTTGTCCCAGTAATGAAAACATTGCTTTTGTCAAGATGTTTGTGAACCCTGCTAAGTAGTATAGAGTATTGTTGCCTGGTAAAAATTGGACCTCCTCAGATGCTATCTATAAAATCTCCCATTTCCATATTTACATTGCTTATGATCTTCTTACTACCTCTCCTTTTTCATGTTCTAGAAGATAGTGGAGTTTGTACTGTTGAGCACTATTTATTTCCAAAATCAATGCTGAGGTAGTTTCCCTTTCACCACGCCGAAGCACTGGCAGATTGTGCCAGAAGTCTGAGAAGCAGTGGGAAGAATAGTGGCTAAAGGTATAGATTTATTGTACTATAACCCCTCAGATGTTCATTTGGGCATTTTATCCCTATTAAGTGGTTAAGTGGTCAGACTGGAATGTCATTGCCTTCATTGTCTGGTTTTCCTCTTAATACCTCTATGACCTTGGACAAATTGCTTAACTTCTCTGTCTCAATATTTTGTTCTGTAACAGGTTTATGATGAGGATTAAATGAGATGGCATATGTGTAAGATTAGAAGAGTACTTTGCATAGTTGATATATGTTAACTAGTGGTAGTTGTAAAATAGCTCATTTAGTATTTATCCTTAAAATAGCTAAAGAAGAAGATTCAAATGAGCATTAGAATTTTTAAACGTAGCTTACATAGTTGATTACTTTTTGATCATTTAGCCAAGAATTTTATAAATTAAAAAGTCATCTGTACAGAGAAATATAAAAATTCAAATGTTTGATGACATAAAATTCTAGCATATACTTTTGAGTTTTGGTGATAAGTTGATATGTGCTGCTGTGATTATCAGAACTTCAAATTTTTCTTTTTGCTCTAGGGGCATAAGGAAATGGTGGCAGGCACTTCCTCCTAACAAGAAGGAACTATTTAAAGAAAGTGTAAAGAAAAATAAATGGAAGTTATTCCTTGGTTTGAGTAGTTTTGGATTGCTATTCATAGTGTTTTATTTTACTCACCTGGAAGTGAGTCCAGTCACAGGAAGGAGCAAGCTACTATTATTGGGGAAAGAGCATTTCAGACTTTTATCAGAACTGGAATATGAAGCAGTAAGTAGTAAGAATTGTTTTTAATTAGATTGCTTTATATAACACTCAAAGCAGGAAAGTTTCTTAAATACAAAAGATGCACTGCTTTTTAAGTTTAGTCTTTGATATGAAATTAGCATTTTTTACCAAAAGGCCTTAGACCTTTCGCACTTAGAATTCCTACTGCCTATGTTGCTTTTCCTCCCATTCACCCAGCTAACTCTTGCTTAGCATATGTCACCTTAAATGTCACTTTCTCAGAAAAGCCTTCCTTGATTATTCAGACTGGGTTGGTCAGGGTGACTAGATCAGATGCTAGGGTGCATCCTTCGTACAGACTGAATATAAACCATTTTGTTTGCGATTGTGCCTAGTGTTTTGCTATGCTGGGGTTAGGTCTTCTAGTGTTTTTTTTTCCCCCGGCTAGGGTGCATCCTTCGTACAGACTGAATATAAACCATTTTGTTTGCGATTGTGCCTAGTGCTTTGCTATGCTGGGGTTAGGTCTTCTAGTGTTTTTTTTTCCCCCGTTTGAAATTGTACTTTTCCTTCAAAGCACTTACATGAAGGTGCATAATTATTTATTTGCTGGTCTGTTTCTCTTGTTAGACTAAGCTCTATGGAGGCAGAGATCTTTTCTGTTTTGTTTATTGTTTTATCTTAAGTACCAGCACAGTGTGCAAAGTGTGCTTAGAATATATTTATTGGCTAAATAGATATGTGGTCAGAATTTTTATACCTGGAAAGTCAAGTAGAATAAGATAGTTTTTTCCAAATATCAAGGTTGGCAATTTATTATATGTTTTGAATACAAAATAATGTTGGAATTCAGAACTCTTAACTCCTTGGAAAGTATAATAACTAAGGTAGTTAAACATTTTGTACCCTAGTGAGTTCCTTGAGCACAAGATCATCCTGTCTCCAGTGCACAGCACATACGTGGTATGTGCTCAATTAATATTCATTGAATTGATGTCTCATATCTTCACTTGACAGCTTTGACTTGGTTAGATCTTTATATCTTTTTATTTCAAAACAGTGGTTTTTCACTATAAAAATTGTTCTTAATCAAAATAAGACCAATCTCTTATTGTAGAGTATACACAGTGATTTGTGATTTTTCTTAGAATTTAATTTAGTCAGAGGCAAGTTTGAGGAAAGTGTTCTGGAAAGATTGAGACAGGCCTAGTATTAAATTAGCTCATCTTTTACTATTTCTATTGCTAAGAAATTTTTCAAAAATTATGTGTATGTATACGTATGTTTTTATAGCTATAGATATAGATACACTTTTTTTTCATTGTTTAAGCTACAAATGTAATACCTGCTTGGTATGAAAATTCAAACACCTTTTTTTTATCGATACATAATTGATTATACATATTTGGGCAGTACAGAGATGACTGTCAGCATTTGTGTACATGTGATGGTCAAATCAGGATAGTTGGCATATTCGTCATTACAAAACATACTCATTCTTTGTGTCCATTAACTGATTTCTCCCTGTTTCCCCCCCTCCCCTCCCTCTAATAACCACAGTTCTGTTCTCTCCTTCTGAATGCTCAAAGTATTACCGTGTTTGTCATTTCTTTTCTTTCTTTATCTTTGTTCACATTCAAACACATGTTCTTATATGGGTGTTATAAAGTGGTATAATTACATATCATCTTGTTTTATCTACTTCAGAAGGGTTAATAAATAGTGGGATTTTTTGGTTTATTTCAGGCTGTTTACATTGGTGAGTTATGCTTTTTAAAAATGCTAATTGATATAAAGACTTTTAAATTCATGTTCTATAAAATCGTGAAGATAGTTAAATCTTTAATGCTTCTCAAAGAAGGAGGTTACCATCTTGTTGATTCTTAAAAGAAAGGAGTAGTACATTTTATGGGAATTAAAGTCATATTTTCAGAACATTCTTAATTTTCTCAGTATACTTGAAAGGATCTCTCATGAATATAGCTTCAGAAGTGTCTTCATATGGTGGCTAGTCTTAATCAGCATCATGTAGAGAAAATGATATGCCCATTAATTCTGAGATTTCAGTAATTTCCTTTTACTCTGTGTGAATAAAACACTTTAAAATGAATGAAATGTCTTTTTTTGGTAGAAGTTTAATTTTACTAAATGTAGGGTGTTTTTCTATTCAGCGGGTAATAAAAGTAATTTTCTTTTGTATTTTAGTTTCTTACATGAGATCTTTATGTTCTCTAGGCAGTGTTTTGTTTTCCAGAATACTCAGGAAAGTAGATATAATATTTTAGCATCTTATTTGTCTGTAGGTTAATAGAAAAGTGAAATTTTGATTTCAACCCATTTATATAAAAAACTCTTAGTACTAGAATTTATTCCTTTGTGAGAAACCACATTGCCTTTGTGTGAATAATTCAAATTTAAGAAATTTGAGTGTTTAATATATGCATATTTTTACATAATTAAAATGTTCAACAATAAGTAGTCATCTAACTCTCCATGAAGCAATGTAAAAACATTTTGTAGAGCTAAAACTCTTTTAAAATAAAGGATATTTTCTTTTAAATTTTTCAGTGGATGGAAGAATTTAAAAATGATATGTTAACTGAGAAAGATGACCGATACCTGACTGCTAAAAAAGTAGTTTATCATCTAATTGAATGCAATAAAGATATCCCAGGGATCTCTGAGGTCAATTGGATTATTCATGTGGTTGATTCCCCAGATATAAATGCCTTTGTATTTCCAGTAAGTAAATATTCTCAAACACATTTTTATTGTTATCCTTATTTTTTTATGGAGTTCTAATTGCTTACCTTATTTTTTTATACTTCAGAATGGACAAATGTTTATTTTCACTGGGCTTTTAAATAGTGTGACTGATATTCATCAACTTTCCTTCCTTCTGGGCCATGAAATAGCACATGTAGTACTTGGGCATGCTGTAAGTACCCAAAATGAATATTCAGTTGTTGAAATATTGCTTTGAAGTTAGCAAGTTAAATCTTTTAAGAAACTGAATTTTTTCAGGTTTTTTTTTTTTCTTTTTGAATGATGGAAGTTTAGTTTTTAGTAATTGCCTTATTCTGTTACCTGAAAAAAGATGTGGTAAGCTAATTTTGAGAATTTTTATAGTCTTTAGTATTTGATACTGAATAATTAGTTTCTCTTAAATACTATTTTTATCAACTTTCTCTTTTGCTAAAAAGTAATTATTCTCAGCCTCTAATTATTTCAAATTAGATTTTAAATTTGCCATAATTATTAACATACTTGTAATCTAGTCAGAAAATTAATTGTAGGAAAGTGATATTACTATTTAAGTGGATAAATCAGTTTTCTTTTTTATTCATTCTCAGGATAGCTTGGAACATCTTTGAAAATATCTAGAATGATATGACATATATAATTAATGCATAATAATAATGATACCTTGCCATTTTACAGCTTACTGAGCTTTTTAATATGTGCCTTCCCATTCATAATTTTAATACCTCATGAGGTACGTGTTTATTATCCTTGTTTTATATATGAGGAAACTAATGTTTAAAAAAACTAAATACCTAACGTGGCAGAGTGGCAGAATTGGGACTTTAACCAGGTCTTCTTTACACAAGTCCTGCATTTCTTCCTTTTACTACAGTTACCTGGTTGTTGGCAGTACATTTCTTATAGATCATAGAATTCAGGCTGATTTATGCTCCTGTGGTTACACGTCTATTTGACTTGGTGTGAGTCCAGGAAAATAATATATATTAGTTTTGCTCATTTTTTTAGTGTCATTCATTAAAAATAATGAATGGCTCTTTTGTCCACATAATTAGAGAAGTGTATTTTCTTTAAAGGAAAGCAGGAAGGTTAATAGTGAAAGGATTGTGAAATGCTAAATCATGAATTAAAGTAATATTAATTTTAAATAGAAACAATGTTTATAATACTTCTAAAAGTCATCTCCAATTCTACCTATTCCTTAGAGTGTTAATAAGATGAGGTAGACCAAAGTTGTGCTCTTCTGAAGCACTAATAGTAATTATCTCCTTTATTTCTTCTGAGTTAACAAGAAAATTTTAAACATATTTTTCTTAAACATATATACAAGAATAAATCTAAGCAGTTGAAATAGAGATGTTATATGCATTCTAATATAGTTCATGTAATGGCTTCATAACTTTGAAATCAATTTTGGCCATTTTAGCATTTAAATGGTGTTACTATTCAATACATTTGTTTTTCTGGCATCTAGTTCAATTCCTCATATTCATTATATTGTCATCTCTATCAGTGTAAGAACAATAATTAGGGCCGGCCCGGTGGCGCACTGGATAGTGCGCCGCTTGGGAAGCGCGGCAGCGCTCCCACCCGAGGGTTCGGATCCCACGTACAGACCGGTTACCGCTCACTGGCTGAGCGAGGCGTGGGAGCAACACCGAGGGTTGCGATCCCGTTTCCGGTCCCCGGTCCGGTACGGGGGCAACACTGAAGGTTGCGATCCATTGCCGGACACGGAAAAAGACAAAAAAGACAAAAAAAACAAAAAAAAGAACAATAATTAGATGAGATATAAAAAGGTGAATAGCAAACCTTAAAAATAGAAATTAGTTATTAATATTTCTTTGGCAGAGGTCTTAAATATTATCAGCACAATATTTTCTCTTTTGGGAGTCTCAGTTTAGATTTGATCTAGTCTTTTATGTTGTTTTCTTCCACAAATACACACAAATTTTTCTTCTATTTCTTGTTTTTCTAAGACTGTATAATAGCAATTATATCCTTTAACAATTAGTAACAGAGACTTTCTCTTCTATAATGACTTCATCGTTTTGAGTTTCACTTTTTCATGTTAAAATAATTATACAATTATTTTTCGCAACAGTTCTTATAATGAAGCAAAGTGTGTTTTGTGAGGGCATACTATATTGTCAAGGGACATATGTATTCTCGTTTTGAGTTTCACTTTTTCATGTTAAAATAATTATACAATTATTTTTCGCAACAGTTCTAATAATGAAGCAAAGTGTGTTTTGTGAGGGCATACTATATTGTCAAGGGACATATGTATTTTATGTCATTGTTTTTTGTTTCCAGCTGTTTCGTACATTCAAGTAATAACTGCTATATTATCAGTATTAGCATTACATTAACATTTATTAATCAACTTTAATGGTGAACAGTGAACAATCCAGTGCATTAAACTTATATTTAGCTGTTACTACTCAAAACAGTGATTTTATTTAAAAACTTTTTTGGTTATTGCTATAAGTCAATACAAAAATTCACAGACCCCGATTTCCTGGTGAGAAATACTAGACTTATAAAATTGCAGAGTTGTATATATGAATCATGCTTCATATATTAGGTCATGAAGACCAAAAGATTTTATTTAAAATAAACTTCTAATCTTTTTCTGAATCGTTCCTTGTTTTAATTGCTTCATATGTTAGGTAGTGTTTAGTCTTTATTCAAAAATATAAGTATAATAAACAGATTTATTTGATTTTTAAAAAGACATAGTGACTGTATTAGAAACTGAAACTGCCTGGGTTTGAATCCCAGTCCTTTTATTAATACCTGTTGCTGTGTGAATTTGGGCAACTATTTTAACCTCTTTCTATCTCAGTTTCATTATCTATAAAATAAAATAAGAATAATTGTACCTATTTCACAAGATTGTTATACTTGTTAATATAAGAAATTGTAGGTTAATGAACGTGTCATTGTATCTGACTAATAGTAAATGGCTCAGTAAATGTTAGTTAAATGAATGAATGGGTTAAGTGTAAACAAGGGAAGGGGAAAAACAGGGAAAGGATGAGCACACAGAAGAAGAGTGCTTTCCATCTTAGTTGGTGACAGTCAATTAAACACATGTAATTATTTAATGTGATTACATATTAAATAATACGTTATTTAATGTGATTAACTAGAAAATGTAAGTATATATTGTCTCAATTTATTAAATGTGATTTTTATTATTTTGATTATTCTCAGGCAGAAAAGGCTAGCATGGTTCATTTCTTGGATTTTCTTGGTATGATTTTTCTCACAATGATTTGGGCCCTTTGTCCTCGAGATAGTTTGGCACTTTTGGGCCAGTGGATACAGTCTAAATTGCAGGAGGTAAGTCTGAGACGATAACTTAAATTTATAATTGCCTATGCTGAGGATTTTAATATTACTGTAAAGCAACAAATACCAGAGATGTTTTCACATTTTATCATGAAATATGGGTACTAATTTTTAATGTCTTATGTTTTCTCATTTTTAGAGGATATGAGGGTACTTCAAAAAGTTAATGGAAAAATAGAGTTAAAAAGATAATACAAATCTTTCCTTGAACTTTGTGAAATACCCTTGTATTCTTATATATGGGCATTATAATTAAGGAATGGTACGTCTCCCAAATGATGGATATGGATGGATTAGAAAGGCTTGGCAACTTTTGGCTAATATGATGTTTTTCCATAGTTATTAGTTTTACAGAGAGAAAACTTACCCTTTTCTTTTGACTGTGGTGCTTTAACTAAATGACTTTCCCTCCCCCAAATAATTGCATTTTAATGAGGAACTCTTAAAACCTTTAAACTTTAATGGATACTGAGTTGGATGAAGCTGCTTTACCACCTTCCCTTCCTTGTCACCTCAGGTTAAACTAATGTTGCCTCAAAAATATTGAAAGAACAGTCATACTAGATAGATATTTATTAACTTTTGTTTTTAGTGCTTGTGTATAATAATAATAATTTCAAATATTTGAGTCCCTCATTTTGTTCAGAATACTGCACTCCTGAAAGTAGGTCTTGCAGTCTTCATAACTACTTTGTTAACCATGATTAATTATTTTATTTTACATCTTTCTTCACATATTTGTCCTGGGAGGTCTGGTTATTTAGGAACAATCTGCTATTTGTTTATTTAATGATTTGTGGAGCACCCATTAGAGTGCCATCTGGGTGCTGTTTAAATCTAATGTGCAAAATTCTTTGAGACAAATTGCTTTTGAGATTGAATAACTAAGTATGTTATTCGGTATTACCATAGCATTTGGTTTCATTTATATAGAAGTAAAGGTTCTTAAACAGAAAAAGAAAGAATGGTTATTGCTTACTATTAGGCCTCATGGCCAGCTTAAGGCAATTGAGCTGGGCTGGAAAGAATGCTTCAGATGCCTATGACCTAACCAACCAGATGTTACATTGGACCACAAGGGCTGTGTCACCTTGCATACCACTGATTTTGAAATTTCCCATTACTCTGTCAGAACCCTCCCTAAAAGTCTTATAAACCTCCTGCTTTCCTTGGTTTGGGGGAACTGATCTGGCTCAGTCTCCCCTCCGTGTTAGTGGAGTAAAGCTTTTTGGCTGAAATGGCGCCTGGCTCAGGTCTCTCTCGCTTCTCCACCTTGCAGAACCTAACACTTATGTTATAGAATCTCATATGTTGAATTTTGTTTCTGTCACTGACCTGCTGGAAAGTCAAAGGAGTTAATGTAGTTTTTCCCCATCTATCTATAGATTGCTTTTTCCATTAATGGAATCAGAAGATTTGGTCATAAGAAAGATAACTTGTAGCTGTTTCTCTCTTAAAATATTTGATGAATCCTGCCACTTCAGTGTAATTCTTCAATTCAGTAATTGAACTGAAAATAAAGTAAGGATGACCCCTGTTTGAATTCTTTTTCCCTAATCCAAGGCCCGTCAATAATTTTGGTGACAAGGAGGTACTTTTTTCTCTAGAAAGCCTTGCTCACTGTGATTGGAAATCAGAGGAGAGCACTGATAGTGAAGTCATTAGGGAATGGGAATTGCTGACATTCGTTTGCCATTCATTCGTTTGTTGTGATGATTGAATGATACATTTAAGGCAGGATTTCTCAATTTCAGCACTATTGACATTTTGGAATGGATAATTCTTTGTTGTGGGGAATTGTCCTGTACATTGTAGGATGTTTAGTAGCATATCTGACTTCTCCCTACTAAATGGTAGTAGTTCTTCTTACCCCAGGTTGTGACAATCACAAATATCTTGAAACATTTACAAATGTCCCTGGGCAACAAAATCATACCAGGTTGAGAACCACTGATTTAAACCATTTAACACAATACCTGGCACCATGTGAGGACTCAGTACATATGAGCTATTATTATTTGTTCATTTAATCCTCTGCAATTCTAGGAGGTTGGCACTGTTACTAACTCCGTTTTACATATGATGCTACCGGGTGTAGAGGGGTTAAACAGTTGGTTCAGAGTGAACAGTTAATAAGTGTCAGCATTTGGACTTGAACCCAAGTTTCTCTCCTTTTAAAGCTGATGTTTCTCATCAGTATACTATCAGCAGACTTGATGGGGTACATACAGATTACTCACAGAGGGTGAAGACACTATATGATATGGTTCATCAACCTAAACGGATGTGATGGAGAAGGAAGAAAATCAAATCGAATGGTCACATACTGTGAATCAGATTGATTATATTATTTCTAGCCATCACAGATATGTAACTACCTTTGAAAAATCGCTTCACCAATTAGTTGGTCTTTTCTCAAAAGTCCTGCCTATTGATCCATCTTCTACAAAGTTTTAGTATTTACTGAAAATTAGAATTTAACTGGAAAGCATTCACATAAATACAAGTAATTAGGAAAATTAAAGTTATGATATCTTTTTTTTTAATTTAAGTTAGAAGAAAATTTCATTTTCCTAACTAATCAATACTTAGAAATGAAACAGGAAATTAAGGTAATTTATCAAAGAAAGAACATTCTGCTATACGGTTTATTTTCTTACTGAAATAAATCTTCTGGTAGTGTCACTGGCTATTATATACCTATGTTTTTTCAATTTCTTTGAAAACTGCATCACCATAATTGGAGAAACAGAAGTAACTACTTATGGGCCGACCCTGTGGTGCACTCGGGAGAGTGTGGCGCTGGGAGCGCTGCGGTGCTGGGAGCGCAGCGGCGCTCCCGCTGCAGGTTCGGATCCTATATAGGGATGGCCGGTGCGCTCACTGGCTGAGTGCGGTGCGGACGACACCACGCCAAGGGTTGCGATCCCCTTACCGGTCATAAAAAAAGACAAAAAAAAAAAAAGTAACTACTTATGATACTATCCAGAAATTTGTAGGCATGACTTTTTCTGTTCTCTTCATATTTTTAAAGTATTAATCACCAACGGTCTTTTTTTTTCCCAGCAGCTGGCTAGTGTGGGGATCTGAACCCTTGTTGACCTTGGTGCTGTAACACTGTGCTCTAACCACCTGAGCTAACTGGCCAGCCCTGAAGTATTAATCTCTAAGGAAGGAAATAAAGGCAGTGTTTATGTTTTTATACGATGGTGTTCTTTAAATGTTAATCATAGAGAGTAAAATTTTATCCTAGATACTCCATGAAATTAATTTAGAAAAATCAAATTTTGTTACTGCTTTTGTCATGAAATAAATTGCCTAAATGGAGCTATTCTGTACTATTTTTTCTTAGTATATGTTTGATAGGCCGTACAATAGAACATTGGAGGCTGAAGCTGACAAAATTGGACTACTGCTTGCTGCAAAGGTAAAGTGGTTAGTAGTTGGGAATACAGTATCCTTCACATAGTAAAAGATAAATGTGTGTTGTCTTAAATAGTCTTAGGCATAGGCAGAGAATTAGAGTTGGACTGTATTAACCCTTTATACAATTTCCATTAATCTGTAGAAATGAGAAGATTATGGACCTTGAAAGAATGCATAATTAAAGATACTCATTTAACTCCCTTCTATATATGAGGCTGTATTATTCATGAGAATACATAAGATTATAGTAATTATCAAGTTATATAAAAGAAGTCTTAATCCATTATTGGAAAGATTTTTTGCATGTATAAGCTTTTTGATTATAGACTTGAAATATATTAATTGAAATTTAAAAACATGGCTATGTAATGCGTTCAGGTTATTTGCCTGTTTGTTGTGTTTTTGTTTTTTTTGGCAGCTGGCTGGTACAGGGATCTGAACTCATGACCTTGGTGTTACCAGCACCACACTTTCCCAAGTGAGCTAACTGGTCAGACCATTCAGGTTATTTTTGTCACAGTAGATGACTTTTTTTTTGTTAACAACAGTGAGGAGCTCTGTGCCTTTAGGTTTATTTAAGTTGGCTTTGTTCTTGTCTACTTAATAGGGCACTTCACACCTGGCTGCTATTTTAATCACCTGTGATAACTGAGTAGTATTAGTAGAATTTAAGGTTAGGAATAAAACTGCGTTTTTAAAAATGAGAAGACATTGCAGCTCTATTTACAATAGCTAAAATATAGAATCAACCTAAGTGTACATTGATGGATGACTGGATAAGGAAAACGTGGTATATATACACAATGGAATATTACTCAGCCATAAAAAATAATGAAATTCTACCATTTGCAGCAACATGGATGAGTCTGGAGAAAATTATGTTAAGTAAAATAAGCCAGACAAAGAAAGAGAAATACCACATGTTCTCACTCATAACTGGCTGCTGGGAAGGAAGGAGGGGAGGTAAGGAGGGAAGAAAGAAGGAATGAAGGAAAGAGAGAAAGAAAAGACCACAACAATATGTTGAACTTTCAGAAGGAGAGAACAAACCTAAGGGAGATGGGGGGAGAGGAGGGACGGGGTTTGGGAAGTGTTAGGTAGGGCAAAGGGCATAAAGAAATATCACAAATTGTAAGAATGAAGATGCTAATAATAAATAAAAATTTAAAATAAAAAAATGTGTGAAAACAATGCCACTTAACATAATAAATTCAAATTTTATTTGATCCTTTGTTGAGTTTCTAGTGGTTATTAAATTTATTAAAAATAACTATTATTTGAGTCTTTCATTGATTTTATGGATTTAATTTTATAAATTAATTTTATATTACTCATTCACAAAAGCAAAAGCAGTTCTTTGGATGTTAATAAGTAGGATTAAGTGAATGATCAGACTGTATGTATTAAGAGGTTTCCAAGTAAGGGGCCACAGATTGGCTGTTTCAAGAGTTTTCTAATTTTAATGTATGACAGTCTGTCCGATTTTCCCTTTATGTTAAGTGAATTCTCTGTTCTTGTTAAGAAATTTTCATCTATCTCAATAAATTATTCCTGTTTTATTTCCAAGAAACTATTGTTTTATTATTTATATATATAATATAAGGAAGATGTCAAGATAATTTTTTTCCGTATGGGTAACTAACAGACTCAGCACCATTTATTGAAGAGTCATCTTTTCTTCATCTCACTTCGGTGACTCTTTGTCATAAAGGTGGGACTCTATATGGGGATCTGTTTCTGACTCACTATTCTATTCCATTGGGCTGTTGTTTATCTTTCAGTCAATACCATACAGTTGCTGTAGCTTTGTGATAGGTGTTGATATCTGATAGCTTCTGTCCTCCAAAAATGTTCTATAAAATTGAGTTAGCTATTCTTAGACCTTTGAATTTCCTTTAAAATTTTAGAATCAGCTTATTAAATTACATACCCATACAAAAACATGCCTGGGATTTTAATTGGAATTACATTGCATTTATATATCAATTTAGGGACAGTTGACTAGTGTCTACAATATTGATTCTTTCCATCCATTAATATAATATATTTGTATATTTATTTAGATATTCTTTAATTTTTCTTAATGATATTTTCATGTTTTTGTTTGTAGGAATTACATACCTTTTGTTAGATATATTGCTGTTTGATTTTTTTTATGTTATGATAGTGTCATTTTAAAAATAAATTCTTGCATATAGAAATATGGTTGATTTTTCTACGTGACTGTGAATCCAGCAAACTGTATTTCTTCCTTTCTAATCTGTATACTTTCTTTTTTTGTCTTATTGCAGTAGCCAGAAACTTCAGTTCAAAGTTGATGGTTGGCAACTTTGTTTCTTCCTGATCTTAGCATTCAGTATTTTGCCATTAATTGTGATGTTTGTTGTAAGCTTTTTATAGATACTTTGATCAGATGAAAGAGTTTCCCTTCTATTTCTAATATCCTAAGAGATTTTTTTTTTTTTTTCGTGTCCGGCAACGGAATCGCAACCCTCGGTGTTGCGCCCACACCTCGCTCAGCCAGTGAGCGGAACCAGTCTGTATGTGGGATCCGAACCCTCGGCAGGAGCGCCGCCGCACTATCCTAAGAGATTTTTAAGAATAATGAGTATTAAATTTTGTAAAATGCATTTTCTGCATCTATTGAGATGATTATATACTTTTCCTCTTTTAATCTGTTAATGTAGCAAATTACACTGATTTTTTGTTGTCAAATTTTTAGTTTTGGAAATAAACCCAATTTCATTAATTATATTATCTTTTAATATATTGCTGGAATTGGTTTGTTAATGTTTAATTTAGAATGTTTGTATCTATGTTCATAGGAGATTGTGGCCTGGAACTTTCTTTTCTTATAATGTCCTGTCAGGTTTTGGTAACAATGTTATGATGGCTTCATAAAATGTATTTTTTTTTCCTCAGGAAGAGGTTGTGTAAAATTAGCGATATTTATTTTTTAAGTGTTTGGAGAATTCATGGATAAAGCTGTATGGTACTACAGATTTCTTTGTGAGATTATCTTTAATTATGGATTCATTCTCTTTAATAGATATAGAACTATTCGTATTTTTCTATTTCTTGCGACAGTTTTTGTAGTTTTATTTTTCTAAGTATTTGGTTTAAATTTTTAAAATTATTGGCATAAAGTTGTTTTAATATACTCTTATTATATTTTTAATGTCTGAAGGATACCTGCATTATACATATATATATATCTTTTTAATGTCTCCTCTGTTCCTAATATTGGTGATCTGTATCTTTTCTTTTTTGCTAGACTTTTATAACTTTTATTAATATTTTCAAAAAATATCTTTGGCTTTGCTTCTTTTCTCTCTTATATGTTTGTTTCCTATTATGTCAGTTATTGTGCTTGTCTTTATTATTTCTTTCCGGGAGCGCCGCCGCGCTTCCCAAGCGGCGCACTATCCAGTGCACCACCAGGCCGGCCCATACTCTTATTATATTTTTAATGTCTGAAGGATACCTGCATTATACATATATATATATATCTTTTTAATGTCTCCTCTGTTCCTAATATTGGTGATCTGTATCTTGTCTTTTTTGCTAGACTTTTATAACTTTTATTAATATTTTCAAAAAATATCTTTGGCTTTGCTTCTTTTCTCTCTTATATGTTTGTTTCCTATTATGTTAGTTATTGTGCTTGTCTTTATTATTTCTTTCTACTTACTTCCTTTGGGTTTCATATGCTGT